GTGTAATACCCCCCACCCCATTTTTGCCGTTTTCCCTCTTCAAAGTCAGGGGAATGCTTACAATTTTCAGACGTACGGGCGACACAATCTAGCCAGTGGCCTTGTAGACCACCCACACAAGAGCTGAATGGATGAATGGCTGCCTGACATCTAGCTTATTAAAATCAAAACAAAAAGTTCAAACTCATTTTGGCATAAAATAAGGTTTATGTTTGCCATCAAAAGCAGTGCGGTTTTATTCAGTGAATCAAAGCTATATTTAAATAGCACCTTTTGTAGTGCTTCCTACTATTCAGAGATGATTGACAACCTGATAACAAGACTAAAGCACATTTTAAAGATAAAATGAAATAAATGCAAAATAATAAAAGATTTAAACACAAAAAACTGGCAAAATACAATGGCAAGTGAAACATGAGGGAATAAAACAATTAAAAAATAAAAAAGAATAATTTATTGTTTATACTTGTAAAACATTCTAATCAAAAGCCAGGCTAAAGAGGTAGGTTTTAATTTTGCATTTAAAAACATCCTCACTCAGACTGTAGCAATGGCTCAGTGCATAAAAACTAAAAGCTACAGTTTTTGTCCTGTGCTTTGGAACGACCAGAAGACTTAAAGTGCAAGAGGACCTGAGAGGGCATCCTGGTTTTTACACTGGAAGCTTGTTGGACAATTCTGAAGTGAAGTGTATTAAAAATAAGAAAAATCAAAACAGAAGCGGACAATCAACCAATGTAAGAACAACTTTAAAACAGGTGTAATATCCTCTGGGCCAGGCCAGCTCTCGGGCAAAAGAGTTCTGAAAAATGTGGTTGTGCTATAGAAAATGTTGTAATAATAGTGAATGGTTAATTAAAATGATACAATTTCAAACAATTCTTGGCAGATAACAACACAAAAATTGCTGATGCAACACTTTATCCATCACTTTATAGCTAATGTCTCTCTGCAGTGGCAGCGAGGGATTGCTGAAAGTCTCTTATTTTGAACTGGAAGACAGATTTGTCATAGTTAAAAGCTAGAAACCCTTGACTGTATAAATCTTTAAAGCAATTCTGCCTTTAAATCAGAAGGCTATAGTGATATATTTACTGCTATCTACGAATCCCATTAAAAGAGCCAAACCAATGCTACACAGTAATAGTCTGTCACTCACTATTCTCAGACGGCTCCAGACTGCTTGTGGCTTTCAGCAGCAAACATATTTGTTCTTTTCTAGGAATGTAAATCTTTGAAAACAGGTCACTCACATGTATTTTCATTTTTCAACTTTACTCAGAACAGCTGGGCACTGCGGTATCTAGCAAACAATTCTCAAATGGAAATAAATGGTGTATTTGTGACTATTTTCAGCTGCAGGTGGTTTGATCCAGTTTGCATTTGTAATATTACCACACTGAGTGACATTCATTACTTGTAGCATCTATTTCAGCTGTTTATCCACTTAGTTCTCTCTTCTCAGAGCATGTGCGTGTGTGTGTGAGTGAGCAAAGAGGTTTTGAGGCAGAGCGGGAAGCTTGAGTTTCAAATGTGGCATCTAAGCCAATATTTCTGTATTATCTCAACACAAGGATCTCAACATCTAAGTGTGGTGTGTGTGGCTCATTAGTGGAAAGAGAGAGCACATGCGAGACCGATCTGAATAGAAAGAAACTTTATAATGAGCAAATAATACTGGTCATAAACCAGCCTAAACACAGAATGAAATTACAGTAAAACCTACATGAATATGCAGTTATTTAGCATCAAGTAACACACATTCAGATAAACTACCTCTGCCTAGATGCCAGTCTTACTTGATGATTGGGCTTGTACAACTCAGATGTGTTTGTCCACCTCTTGCCACTAAATTGCTCCAGGCGAGTTCTGTGCTGGCGGACATGTGCGGGCAGTTTCCTGACTCGTCATTTGGGTTTGAATCTGCATCTCTGGCAGGTCCAATGTGTGTGAAGTGATGAAGAGGAGGATTTGTTGACATTTGGAAATAAAAGGGATCAAGTTGCCTTCTATTTCTTTTGAAACTGCAAAAAGATGGAGTTTATTATTTAAGTACTTAAACAGCATGAAACAATAAATATATAATATTTATATAATGCTAGTGCTGTATATAAAGCTCTGTCAGTTATGTTAGCTTTCAATCTTGTGTTTTGAACTGAGATGAAGGCTTTGGCTACAAAGTCACTACTTATAATAAGTTGATCATTTCATTGTCCAATTTTCATGGGCTTTGTTCACAATAAGAAATAGATTATTCTCAACAGATGTCTCCTTTAATTCTTTCATTTTCAGTTCAAATCACTCATAAGATCTACCGCTCCTGTCGATTAAAAGTACCTAAATGCAAGGTGAAGCTGGAACATTTTAAATGGTCATTTGTCAAATTAGGAACTAATAGGAAACCTTCCCCCACTGCAGTTCGATCCATCTGGCAGCAGTCTAAGGCTGTAACTGCTAATTGCTAACGCCTACACAAGCACCAGGCAGGCATATTGATTCTTCAAGCTCACATCTCAAACATTTTGGTAGACCGGCGCATTACAGACTGGCATCGTGCTGCTGGATGAGGGTAATTTACTGGGACTGTGTAGGCTACATGCATGGGAATACTGCTGCGCTATAGCACACGAGGACAGGTGACAAATGGTTGGTCAAGAACGAGGGTGCAAGAGATGTGCTCACTTAACGAAAGTACAGCATCAGCAGATTTAATTAAATCTGTGGTTTTAAAAAGCAAAGATTTGGTGTGTGTTTAATGGATCAATTATGATGGACGGACAAGACAAAAAAGATTAATCAAAGTGCTCGGAAAGTAAAGCACTTAGACATGCAATTAATATGCCAAAGAAGCCTGTGGGGACAAAAAAATAATCTGTTAAAATAAATGTAAGAACAGCTTCATGGGCTATTACTTTGGATTATCACCATTGATCTTGTCTATAGCCATATGTGTGAGTTTGATGTTAATACCCATATTGATTCACTGCTTTTGAGCAGCTTTTGATAGACACTTTCAGCTATAGATTTCATTACAATGTCCTGACCGGTCCTTCATTTCCTCAAGGAGTGATATGAACATTGACTGGCTCCAAATAGAAAGCGTAGGTTCAGCATATGCTTTGCCGAAATGTGTCTTAATGTTTATATTAGTGTAATAGTGCACCAGAAACAACTGGGACTAGGAGACCCCAAGTCAATATGGCTGCCAGCCAGGACAAGCTAATTTCTTTGGCTTTGCCTCGGATGTTTTGCATAAAATGACTTAAACTGACTGACAAAAAGCAGAAGAAAAACAAACCACAGACAGAAGCAGAAATGGAAGTAGAGGCTGCTGTGTATAATAATCCCTGCAATTCACTAGGAGGGAGCTGAAATGTGCTGTATATTGCAGGCTGTACAATGCTTTTGTCATGCATTTAAAGCAACCACAGGCCTAATGATGACAGCTAATGGTAACAAGCACAATTTAAAGGGTCCCTGCCTTTATTTGTTTGTTGCTGGGTTTTTTTAGATTATGGCTGTTGTTGTTTACTGTGGTTTTATATGCTGGACCCACAGGATCTACAGACTCAATCTGCTGCAGCCTGCTTTGTTTCTGGCTCTACTGAACCGGAAAAGGTGGACTCCTAGTGGATATCTGGGGGGCTTTTCTGCTTGTGATGGTCTCTCTCTGTGTTCAGTTTCATTACATGTACAGCTACACTTCTATCCATCAACTGCTCCAAATTTGGAAATAAAGCAGCAGTGCTATTGCGTCTTAAATCATTAACTTGCTCTCTTAAATTCCCAGCACTATTAATTGCTAACTGTAAACAGGACGCTAGCCACATTTGGCATTCTAAGATGTTTGGTGAACAACAGACTCCTGGATCTGAATAAGGCTCAAACATATACGGCCGACTCTCTCCATTTTCCCCTCCTGCCACTGTACCCTGACACATAGCGATTTCACCGGTCTACCTGGGGGGGAGCAGCCATGGTGGACATAGATTTGAATATTCATGAATCTCTGAATTCACAATGAAGGGCAAAGACCAGGCATGTTTTTAGGGCTTTCTCAGATGTTTACTGAACTTTTTTGTTTAAAATAAAATAAAACTCTGTATGTGTGTCATAGCAGAGGCTGTTTATATGCCTTAAAATGTCTCTGCAGGAGATCTTTAAGCATCTTGTGGTAGAGAGGTCATTTGGGATGCAAACTCATTTCCACCACTATTTACTTGCCTTATAGGCTACCTGCTGCTTTATTCCTGTGCTAATACTACTCTCAATTAGCCACTGAAAACCTGATGCTTTACACACACACACACACACAGATGCAAACATCCTATAATTAATCTCATACCAGATGTAAATACTGTTAAGGTAATTTGGATGTTTTGTAGAACCATAAAAGTTGGTTATTGTTTTCATATTTACTCTTTAGATGATACTCTTAACCTCTACACCCTGTTTACCACTGCACTTTTATTAGTGCTGATAGCTCCAGCTCACACGATCATCCATTCTGTAATAAGGTTGGCTGGTCCTCTAACTGTGAGCTTTTCCTCTCTTATGACAGAAGAAACCATAAGGGACTGCATGTGGTTATATTTGTTGACAAATCCATTGTACTGTATGATATTGTAAATCGTTCATTAACAATTTCTATGCTTATTATGGATGGAGAAATTATATTAAAGCTTAAAATAAAGGTTCAAATAGTGTCACACTAATAAATGAATATTTAGATAATTTCATTAAAATCATTTTATATGATATAAATTAATTTGTTCCATTTTAATAATGTTATTAAGATAAAGCCTCCAGTGGTTTTCTCACTTCATTCATTTCATGGATGGATTACTGAGTGGACCTACAGGTCCCAGCACAGCCCATAGATAGCATCTATATGCACTGTCAGAAAATCAAGTCAAAGTTATTGCAAGACATACAAAAAATACACAAAGAGAACAAGAGTAAAACAGATGCAAAATGACTAAAAGAGATGATTAATGACCTAAAAGAGATTTAAAAAGAGAATGAAAGTGCAAACTATGACACAAAACAGCCAAATAGAACAACAAGGTGATGAATAAGTATTACTAGAAAAACACTTGTGTCTCTTTCAGTCTTGGGTGTTAGAGTTCTATTGCAAGAGGGGCTTTGTCTCTGCCAGGAGCTGATTGTCTCATAATCCACCCATGATTAATTCTGACTTAACAGTTTTGTTTGTATACCGTCTTCTTCTTTCAGGTCTCCCATGGCTTTCAAACTGAGAGCTAATAATTTACTGTAACTGTTATACATTTCAAAATTACAGGCTTTAATGTAAACTACTTATTATGTTATCCTTATTACTATTATATTTATTATGTAGACACGATTCTAAACACCTCAGCCAACACAAAGCAGAAATATTAGTGAAATAAATGTAGAACTGTTACATTATCAATTATTCAAATGCGCTTGGATTATGAAACAGTAGAAAGTTAGCAGAATAAGACAGTTTCAAGTAAATATGCTAAACTGACTTTTATGAACTTGTGTGTGCTTCTCTGACCTCTGTGACATTTACTGTATTCTCCTACAAGGCAAATTCCAGCCATCTGGTACTCTGGGCAAGTTCAAGCAAATGTTAAGCTGTACTGTATTTGCAAGTATTATCTACACCGCTGTACTGCAACAACATTCTCCATGACATGATGAAGAAAAAAAAACATCATATTACACATCTGATACATCTGAAAGTGCTATGTAATTAGATTTTGTCATTTGAAACAACATCTCCATTAAACAACATCTCCATTAGGGCATCGCACACCTCATCACACAGCAGATAGTATAGTATCATAATTATATGCAGAACTTGCAGTTATTTATGTTTGAAAGGCGCCGGTTCAAACACATTCTCAGACCTGCAAACCCCAACCCGCCCTCATGCTGTTATTGTTGCTGCAGCTGTTACCGCCTCTGTTTGTGTTGCTGCTAGTTTTTACACTCATCATGCTCCCGTCTTCTATCTATATTCTTCATGACTGATCCTGACGCCAGCTGTTACAGATCATACTAAAGTTCAGATCATAATAAAGTACAAAAGAGCAGCGCAGGTTTGGAAAATGACCCCACTTCTTTGTTGGGGCCAATGTTTCTGATTTGATTGCGGAGGCAAGAAAAGGTATTTTTAAAGCACACTGATACTTCCAAGCATACTGTCAATCTGTGCTATAGTATATGACAGTATTTAATATGATACAGTACATATCTTATTAATTACAAATATACTGCAAGTTCATTCACCTAAGTAAAATAAAATGATATTGAAAATCCAAACTATTTGCTGATGCGTTACTGACCTCTAGTGGTGAACATTCATATGAGGGTAATAAATTGTGTAAACAGCAGAGACACTAAAACACAGGCTCTCAGGCAGTATGATGATGTAAACTACATTATAAGACACTAGGGCCATTGTCAAAGTGACTCCAACACTAACTTAACTCAAGGACTGTATTGTGATTAACCACCCCAGCAAATCAGAGTCACAGGGGACCTGAGAAGAAATAAATATATCCAAATGAGATTTGAAAACATACTCACCATCAATATCCAGTAGTTCACCCTCTGGCTTCTTTGGCCATAACAGCACCAGCAGTGGATCCCGATCTTGAAGAAAGTCTTCACTGCTCCTGATGCCACCAGACACGTTAGATCCACAGAACCTGTCAGGACAGATAAATAAGAGATGAATGAATTTCAGTGAGGTACTCTACCCTAAAAAACAACAAACTGCAGCTACAGAAGAAGATCATATAAAGGTGAATTCCAATTCCATTATTTAACTATCCTCGGTCAGTATAAGAGGTTTGGAATGTCCTTGATCTTCGGCCGATCAGGACAACATCTGGGTTAAGCCAGGAAAACAGCATTGCTGGTTCCATACTGTTAACACAATCAAATTTTCTAATTTGAAAATTAAATGGTATGTTGCAGCACCCGTCTTGATTCAAACATGGGATTTCAGGTGACAAAGTGTGTCTGTGTTATATTTCCTGGCAGTTTCACAACAATTGACCTTTTATGTCCTTTTAATGTATTTCACTGGTGGAATATCCTTTTGAGTCCCCCAGTGAGTCAGTGTGGTTTGTCTGCTTACATAGCCATTTTATCACTCTGCCTGAGATCATTATATCTGTTTTTATGTCTAAATATTTACACATCATAACTTCTCATTCTTGCAACAGTTATTGTTTTGACAGTTAAACATAATGCTGTTATCATATCACACTGCAAGGTGAGATAAATGAAAGGAAAACTGCTGCTCTGTCAGAGGTGGCAGATTTGAAATATCAGACCACAATATTATGATCATGTGAAAACCAGCTGCCACATGGACAGCAGCTACCCCACATATAAAATAATATAATGAAGTGTACTTAAGAGTAGGGCATAATTCCCAGAGATTCAGCCTACAGTAGGGTATAAGCTGAATCATCAAGCAACGCCTTAGCTGTCTTGAAGTCAAGCCTGTTGATGAAACCTACTGACTTGGTGATGCTTTGACCTCAGACCATGTTGAATTTAGCAGATCAGTATGGGGTGTCATAGATGTGGGATTTGTTGAGAGTTTAGTTTGACTGGGAGCAGTAGGAAAGCAGTTGTCACTGCTGTGCACTGAATATAAGAAGCCTTCTAAAATGCTGGGAGACAGGCAGAGGGAAGTGATAGGACAAGCCAAACAAATACATCAGGCCTGCCGCTCCCTGTCAGGTCCATTATGAATAATTTATCCACGGTGACGGATGTTTTGTTCTCTGGAACCACAGGTGTAACTGAGGCCTGCCATGAAGCTGAAGGTCAATGGAGCTCTCTGAAAGATGAGCAGAAGCTTCCGACAGGACTTATCTGGTCACCAAGCACCTTCTGACCTGTTATTTACCAAGACTCAACAATGACTATGTTAACATGCGGATGTTCAGCAGCTCATGTTTGGTATGTTAACCACCTCGGTTTAGTCAATATTACGGTGAAACTAGAGGAAAAGTCGGGACATCAAGTAAAAAGGTTTCTCTAGGGACAATGAATTAGTTTACAAAATTTATGTCTATTCAATAATAGGGATGTAACGATATTTATTTAACTTCGTGATATCCCGAGAAAAATATCTCGATATGGTTATTTCGCTAGCACAACTACGTTCGGGTCGCACATTTTGAAACTTACATAGCAAATGTTCCACCATTGACTTTTAGGGCTGTTGTGTGGTGGCATTTCAGTTTTCCCGTTTCAAGAAATGACACAGACGAAAAGGAAACTAACAAAAGCGGAACAATTTGCTAAGACTGTTGAACGAAGGTACTACCCCCGGTTAGGAGTAACACAGTCCTGGATACATCTGGTAGTGATGTGACGTTCCGTATCGAGGCTTCGAAGCGTGTGCCGAGTAGGGGAGGGGGCGTTTCCGCGATGCGCGTATCGAGGCTTGCGTCATTTGGGGGAGGAGCTGAAATGATGACGTCCGAAGCCTCGCTGCCCGGCTGTACCACGTGACTGATTCAGAAAGTGGTTCGGATTTTTAAAAAAAAAGGAATCGCCTAAGACCTGCCACAGTGGAGAAACTGTTGTTTTTAAATAAAAACCAGTGATGTGTCCCCTAAACCATAATCACTGGACATACCTCAACGTTACAAAAGCACAATCATTGTCCATACCCCAACCCCAACCCTCACCTCACTGTAAATAATCATTTCCATTTTCATCATTTCCAAATAATCAGCCATCACTACAATATACAGGTTTTGCATACTTCTTTATTTTGCTGACAGTTTTATTCACAGGCTTTCTGCAAAATGCCACACACTTCAAATTCATGCCAAATGATATTGTTGCATCCAGTAGATGTCCTACTAGAGCAAATGAAGCTTCAAGAAGCTTTGCGCTGGAGTGAACCAATTGGATGAAAGGTTTCATTGCTTCATGAAGCTTCATCTGCCCATCACCAGATCTCATCTGGCAGAAACAGGCGGAACAAGACTGTGCACAGCACTTTAACAGAGATGGGCAAACAAGCACATATGCAAAACCATCCACTTAATATCAACACTTGAAGTCTTTTTTCGTAAATAGGTAGGCCACAGTGTTAAAAAAAAAACAACAAAACAAAACAAAAAACACCTGCATTTTTATGTGGTTTGTCCTAATTTGATGTCTTCTTCTCCTCGTTCTCGTGCGCCAAGCAGCAATTTGCTCACTACTGCTCCCAGTGGTCGGGTATAGCCTCTTCAACTGGTCTAGTAGCCTACTGAAAACCCGACCAGTGGGTCAACACGGCCACCAAAGAGAGAAAGTTAATCCTGCCGAGGGGGTACTGTGACAGTGACTTGTTTTGTTTATAAGATCCAGCTACCGCAATAAAAGCCTATCTTATCTCAGAAATTGACCGATACTGACTGCTGCATTAACATTTATATACATTATACAAAAACATTTATTATTCACAGTGTCCGTCCTTTCATCCCGCCCCTATAGCATCAATACTTCTAAAATATATAAAGAGTGCAGGATAATGATAGAACATCAAGCCAAAGGCAGAGAGTACAAAAAATGCGATCGTGGAGCTGACAGAGGTGGACTGACTGAAATCATTACCAGCACTTGTCTGAACCCCCTGCTGCAGATGAACATGGACCATTGATTTGTATGGAGGGGGGCTGCAATATACAGTAAAAGATCTAGGACTGCACTGGCAAAGTGTTTAACACACTTTGTTAGTCATCAGCAAACAAAAGTTGAAAGACCAGTGACAACAGTCGGTGGAGATCAAAACGGGCTGTTTCATAGAGCACATAACCCCGGGGGGCGGACCACCACTCTTCATGCAGAGCACCTGCAGATAAAAAGGGCAGGGGAAAAGCAGCAGAGACTTTAAGTCCAGGTCTACATGGTGCAATGGCTCTGAATGCTTTTAATGTTCTACTAAACCACAGTGGTAGCAGTCAGCATATTTTTTTTCCCTGGTGTTTTATGGAATGTCACAGGATTGTTTTGTTTCTTTGCTGCTTTCTGCAAGAGACATTTTTCTTTTTAGCTATAAGAATTTTACCATTCTTCCAGGTCAAAGCAAAAATGGACATTTACTTATGTCCTGATGTCTTGTCTGAAGCTGCTGACACCAATTCTCTGTGCTTTAATAACATGAACGTCTTGGAACATCTTGGTGTGACAGAACACAAGCCGATTTTTTATAGCAGTTTTATTATATCCTTTCAAAACACGCTTAACACTAAAACATGCTGCATACATTTTTAAAAACACCTTGAGTGCATTTCACTCTGGATATGATAGTTAAAAAGAGCAGTACTTCCATATACACTGTTCTTGTACTATTATAGAGCAAACTAGTGGAATTCAAGAGTAGATTTACAGTGTAAACATACCTATCTTTAACTCAACACAATTAACTATGAATCAAGCACCAAAACCCAACATGAAAAAGCAATACAACTGCCAAAACCTCAACTTTATTCTAAAAATACGTCCAATTGTGCTGTATTCAGGTATTTTAATCAGTGAGATGTGATCTTGTTTAGGCTATCAGTCATAAATAAACAATGACTAAGTGATTAAAAACAACACAATACCTTCACCACATCTTCCATCATACAGCATTGTTGTCCACATTAGTTGCCAAGAGAAAGCAGAATAAAAGATGGAAGTTTATGCACTGAATATTTAGCAAACCCACTCAACTGGTCTTCAGAGGTATCACTTTAGTTTTGCAAAGATGCAGTCCTGACCTGTTCAATACTAAACTGCTGAGTGTGTGAAACAACTGTTAAGTGAACTGAGAAGTTGATGGAATGTTAAGAGTCGTCCCGGCCAACGTTAAACTCCGTTAACTCCTTAGCAATGCGTTCTGCAATCGCTCTGCTGCTGGCCACGATCAGCCTCCGAGACATCAGATCAAATGGTCCGCCTGGACAAAACAGAAAATGTTAAGTATTACTGTACCAAGGTTTAGCATCACACAGGCCTATATTTGGTCTATGATGAATTTTAAGTAGTGCAAATGTGTGTAGCTGGAACCTGAATTAGCCAGCTGGCAGCCCTCACTACTCTGCTCTCTTGTCTGGGCTGTTTCTAAAAGGGCTCTACAGTTTTTCCATCATATTAAACTGAACAACTGCTAATCAAAAGTAGTAGTAGCAGCCCTAGCCGTTGTATTGGAAGATTAATTAGTGCCTTCTTTCTCAGACAGGACTTTGCTGACTGGTAGGAATTTGTAACACTCTCTTGTTTACCGCAATAGTATAAGCTTCCTTCATTTAGTAAATTGATTTTTTTTTTTTTTACATATTTTTTGGGTTAAAATATTGGAAGCAGTCCTAAATCTGAAAGTCATATGTCAGTACTAACAATGACCATGTTCAGGATTTCAATAGGGTTCACAAAGTTACATTTACTCTAAGATTTCTGGCACCTTAAGAGCTCTGAGAAATGTAATTGTAATAAATTATGTTGGAAAAACCACCTGGAACAACACGACCTAGAATGACGTATCATTATTTCACACTTTTCCAGTACTTCCCTGCAGAATATAACTAAAATGTATAGTGATATAAATGAGACCTGGAGTCAGATTACCAGTAGAAAATGGATGAACTATTGAAACATGATTAATGCATTCAAATTCATTTATATTTTTGGTAAAATTAAGGTTTGTACATTATTATTTGATGATCTTCCTTCCTACTGTAGGTGGCAGCACACGTCAGCCCACAGTTCCATAGTGTACAAAACACTTTAAAACTAACTACTATGTCAGTAATTCAGGGTATAATATGCTTGTGGAAGCTACCATCACAATGCATCTGTTTCACCCAGTCTCCAGCCTCCAGTCTATTTTGACCGTCCCTCAAAGTGGCTTTTTTATTTTTATTTAACTCCTTTTACACTGAAATTTAAAAAAGCCAGAAAACTGATGCTCCTGTGTTCCTTTTAAACAGCTGTCAGAATCCCAGTACTAGAGGTGTGATGCTTATCATGACGACCGACGGTCACAGCCAATTTTAAAATGAAACAAACAGGCTGTTATCTGATTATTTTGATTTATAAATGGTAAACAGGAATTACAATAGCCTACTACGTGCATTCAGTTTCAGGCGTGTGTCTCTGAGGCCAGGGCTACACTCACTCAGTGTACACACAGTGGAACAGACAGAAGCATGCAGAGGTGCGGCCGTGTTTATTCCCGCTTTAGAACATAACCATGATGAAGCAAAATAACGCTTTGCTTCTCTGAGTCACATTGTTCTTGCTGAAGCTGATCTCGCTCTGTTCACTCGCTGGTTCTCTCTCTCCCACGTACCTGCAACCCATCATTCCACCACATCGACCCCCTATACCGGGACTCTACTTTTACACAGAAGGGCGAGGTGGAAAACTCCTGCACTGAATGGACAGCGTAAAAGGGGCTAATGAAACAAGCAGAGAGCATTCATTCTGAGATGCACATCTATACAAATCTAGTCACTATAGGAAAAAAAGATTAGTAGAAGAGCAAATGATGAAACCCTGAGCAATGAATTTGCAAGATTATAGTCTCTTTCTCATTTTGAAATTTCTCACTAAGTGGGTTCAGATTTTGAGGAGCTGAGCTCATTAGTGAGTCCTACCCTTCAGATACTGAGAAAGGGGAACTGTGGTGGGCACAGCTCATTCACCTCAAACGACCCCTCTGAGACAAGTGCCTCAAAACTGATCACTATGCAACTCATTTGCTCCACCACTTCCAGTCTGCATTTTAGATTTATGGTACAGAAAAGCACCGTCTTGACAGAAACTGAGGACGTGTTAGTCTTTTAATAGCCCTGCTTTTGTCAGCAGTGCAGGTTTGACTTGACAAACTGCTCGTTAGCGAGGTACAGCTTCCTTAGCATCATAAATCTCAGGCCAACTGTTATGTCAGTAAATGTTTGAAGAGCTCATGTTTTCTCTGCAACTCACCTGAAATGTCCATGACAACTCCTCCAGCTTCAGTAACAACCGCTGCTCCTCCGGCCATGTCCCAGCAGTGAATGCCCATGTGGTAGTAAGCGTCGGCCGAGCCGCACGCTACCAGACACAAGTTGACAGCTGCACTGCCTGGGCAGCGGATTCTGCAGATGGAAACATTGTTAGGGTTTCTCACACTGGGCTAGGACCCCAAATGCAGACCAGGACTAGGAGTAGCGTCAGCATTGTCAAACAGCATCATGAATAACATTAATGGACCAGTGAGTGACTAAGGGAAAGGAGGAAGTATTTATGGGCTGTGAGCCCCAGGTGAAAACAGTGAACAGTGACTGTGTACTAACGTAAAGCTGGGGCAGGTGAGGTGACACAGGGCACAAGTATATAACCAAAAATAAAAGCTTTCAAAACTGGAAGTGGTGCTAAACCATGACAATCCTGGCTTTGCTCTGCATTTGGCTGCACCTGACACACAGTTTACTTACATTTAGTGTGTGTTTATAGATGTTTAAATTTATCATCTTTAAGACTTTCATGCAATCAAAACATTGAGATATTATTTGTAATTGGAATTTTACACTGCATAATCCCCTCGTCTAGTTTTAGTATTTTCTTAATGCTTTCAATAATCCTAATCCATAATAATTTAGGTCAGGTTTCAGCTTCACTGTCACAGGCATGCTGTTTGTTTGGTTGTCCTGATAAAGTAGCTGTTCAGAAATCATACTCAACCACACTTGCTGTTGCCATCAGTAACAACATGAACCAGCACTGTAATCCTTTGTATTACAAATGTATATGAATATTTACCCATGTACAGGGATGGTGAGGATGGACTTGATGTTGGCCAGCATTGTTTTTAACTGCTCAGGATCCTTTTTGAATCCCATTTCTGTCAGTACCAGAGACTGGCTAATATCTTGGATGGAAACACAACACAAAAGACAAATGACAAGCTGTTTACTCATCTATAGAAAAACAGGTTAGACAAACAGTGTGTAATGTACAGCTCCTGCCTCTCAGATTTACTTTGTAGTGGATCTATTAGCCCAAACCAAGAATCTTGCTGTAACATTGGCTCCACCTGGTGGAAATGTTAATGACTACATAACCAAGACCAGATGTGATTAACAATACCCACCTTCCAGCCCTGACACTTTGATAGGGACTCCATTGCAGAATGCTCCCTTCCCTTTCCGTGCTGTATACATTTTGTCCTCAATGCAGCTGTAGACAACCCCAAACTCTATCTGAGACCAGGAAACAACAAAAACAGTGATGATTCATGTGGTGTGGGAGGGAAACTAAATATACTGTAGAACAACAGCCACACAACAACAGCTTTTTGTTTCAAAATGCAATCCTCAGACATTCACTGGTTTATTATGGCAAAAATTCCTTTTGTTTTTGCATTTAAGATGTGTCAGTGTCATTTGCTTGAGATTTATGAACAATGAAACATACCTCTTTGTTCACAGTAAAGCCAATTGATACAGATACAAATGGGAACCTGCAGAGAGGAAACCGGTAATATAAAACCTTCACTTAATGAATTCTTTAGAATTAACTTCAAAGGAATCCATTTCTGTTTTCACTGTATATTCACTTATGTTGTTTAATTAGAGAGGACCTAATTAAAAGATAAAAATAGTTGAAAAGCGACAAAGATAACACAAATCCAGTGCAGGACCAGGTCTCTTTATGGTTCATATTGCAATAAAGTGCAGGCAGTAGTACCTGTGAACAAAGTTGGTAGTGCCATCGATGGGGTCAATGATCCAGGTGGGGTTGTCTGTAAGAACACTTGGTGCACCTGCTGCTACTGACTCCTCACCTATGAAACTTCAAAATGACAAAGAATGAAAATAACAAATAAAACCATTGACACTACAGCACTCAGTACTGTGTTTACGTTCACTTTTCTATTAGAATCTGTAATTAATCATATTGTGTACAGCTACCACTACACTGGATGCAAGGTCATCACTACCAAGGTGGACACTGAGGTCTGTATTTTTGCCTGATTTTGGACAATTTCGCATCCCAAGGACTCTGCAATTACACTTACTGGATATTTAACAGGCTGATTACAGTATGTTAAGACTCACTATATTTAATTTTGACTACATTTATTTCAACAAAAATAAGTTCATCAACAAATAAATAAAGGATTCAGTAACTGCCCCTAAGAATTTTATTCCTAGCAGTTCAGAAAATGCTTTGCAACAGCATTTAGATTTTTATATTCACAGTTAATGGTGATTTAAATAAATCCAAATTATAATAACACTGAAACATTTAAAATTGGTTTATAATCATTCTGTTTATAATTTATTCTGTTTGTTTGTCAGGCCTGGTGCATGACATTAAACTTAAATTTGATTCAAATTTGGATTTAAATAGCATGAAAGTGTAAAAAATAATTTAAAAAACTGCTCTAAGATTAGCACCAAGCTTTGTGAGACCAGACACTGATGTTATTTGATAACATACTGGTACACTGAAGTAGTACATACACCTCTTATGTCCATACACTGATGTTATTTGATAACATACTGGTCCATTAATATGCTACAGTACACTGAAGTACATACACCTCTTATGTCCATTTGAGGTGAGGTACCTGTGTGTTGGGTACTTTTCCCTGATGGAGGATATAATAAGCTGTTCCACTTTCTGGTCTGTCTCGGTCACTAGGTCATCCGGTGCGCTTTTCTGCATGATGGCAATGTGCTTCTGGAGCGCTTCGTAGATAATCTGGCAAAAACATAACAATGACAAACTCAGCAAGAGACAAGGGGATTTTTTTTGGATGACTGGGTACATCTGCTACTTTAATAAATGTTGTTGTGTTAACACACAACAGTACATGCATTGTTGCAGTTTTGACAATGATGGGGTCACAGATGATTAAGTGTAATGCATTAATACACTGCCTACATTGTGTTCATTACACAATACTGCACTTTCTTTAGAAATCATATGAACTCTCCTGTCAATAACACTGACACAGTTTTTGCATCATAGATGAAAATGCCTTTTTTTGGCAGAAAGCTAAAATAACTTTGTACAGTATGTAACAATTATGGGACCCACTTGACAAAATGGATAACCTTTAGTATTAAACTAAAACTGACTGATAGTGGATACCTTACTCAAGTAGGCCAAAGTAAAACGTTTCTGCTCAAAAAAGTGACTGCCATACAATATAATAGAAACTGCTGCTTTAACAGTGGTTCCTGACCTTGCCAGCCTTTTTGGTGACCTCTACAGAGTGGTCCATACACTCCTGCCAAGGATCACTCATGTTGATGTGGAGAAGGAGCTAAATGTCTCACAAATAGGAACCTGTTAAGATGAAGCAAGACTTTGAAGGGACCGAACACTTTTACAGTATTTTAGCATCGAGTTCGCATTATAATAACAGTAGCAGATAGCTTACACGGGATGAGCTAGGCTACTGACTTGATACACTAGCTAGGCTGGACAATTAAGATGCGAGCGAACAGTAGCCCAAGTACTTCTTTAACTTAACAAGCTAAATTAGCTCCCTCTGCTAATTAGCGTTTACAAAGCACAAATAAACGCTAGGCGTAATGACAACTACAGCTACGAACAAAAAAAATTAACAGTTTTGGCTTAACAGTGATGTAATAATCACCCTTATTTCGCTTAAAAGAAAACTCCCAAGACAGTAGAAAAGACCCGATGCTACCTCACCTCACATCGGAAGAATGACTTGATGTATGGCAGATGTATGGGCAGGGTGGGTGGGACTAAAGCTAACACTCACTCTTATTCGATGTGAAACTGCCGCTCTCATTGGCTAGATGGCTGTCATTTACCCTCACAGAAAACAGGCAAATCACTACTAGATAAGTACAACTTCTTGTTGTGAGAAGGAAGGCACCAGCAGAGGATAGTTTGGATTGTAACCAGTGGTGAAATAAGTATTTAGATGCTTACGTAAATAAAAGTAGCAATACTAGAGTAAAATTTACTGTAGTATCAAAAAGTACTCTTATGCAGACTTGCCAGGGTTTTAATGATGCATTAACATGTAAACAGAATTTTAATATCGTAGTTGGTCAAACAGCATATCACAAACATGCGCTAGATTGCATATAAAAAAAGCATAAGTAACTAAATAAACAGAATTTTAAAATAGAAGAGGCAAAATTAAGAGTGTTTATGTATGTCTTAGCACTATCACTCAAACGTTAATTTCAAAAGCAAAACAGGTACATTAATATTGGCTCAATATTAGGTTTTTAAGAGAAAATCTCACTTTCTTCATTAAACAAATGTTTTACTATTACTATTTTAGGTACAAGTATGCATCCATAAGCCGCCCCTGGTAGGCTAGTTGTTAAGGCGCAGCGCTCTTACTGCTGCGGTCCGGTTCGAGTCAGGGTTACATCAGGAAGCGCATCCGGTGTAAAACACGCGCCAAACGTCAACATGCGAGTCCTCAGTGTGATGATTCGCTGTGGCGACCCCTAAACGGGAAAAGCCGAAAGTGACTTTCTATATGAGAGGGCACGGAGAAGTGATTTTACAAAAATCACTGTACTGTAGATATAATAAACATGAAAACCCTCTTCAGTCCAGAAGGTGGCAGCAGCAGCAGCAGCAACAAAGTTGTGTGTGCAGCTTGTTAAGGAGAAAGCTAGGAGTCAGACATGATGCACAGAGGCCTTTGTTGTTGCAGGCAGCTTTGGGTTTTGTTTTAATATTGTTTTTACATTTAAGGATGAACTCTATGTCACAGCCTTTTCTCACTGACCTAATAAAGCTTAATTTACATATGCAATGCTCAAGCCATTGCATATAGCTTCAGAACTCTCAAGGTACGTTTGCTGTTTTGTCACAAATGTAATGGATTTGTTGGCTTTTTGAATTTCTGAATTTATTTTGACTTTGTTTGTGGCTGCTGAAAACACTTCAGGGAGAGCTTGGGTAACTTATGATAAGTACTTGTATTTTTTTGTGTTTGCTGCATCCATAAACAAAAATGTAGGAACTGGTGGTCTCTAAGAGGAGGACTCTATGTTCCCTATTAAGGTCAGAGAACCAAATGTAAATGTAACTTGGTCATTCTCCTGATAAAAATGACCTCCATGTATTGCTTCTTCTCTATAGCCAACATAAAATTTAATTATCTAAGGTCTCTCTTTGATTGGATCTGTGGATATAAAGTATACTACACACTGTACATTAACAATAAACAAAAACAAAAACTGCTGAATGTGCTTATACAGGATATTCCTCATGTTAGTGTACAAGAGAGCGAATGTCTCAAAGTGTCTTATGGGGTTTGAATCAGGCCATTTAGAAAACAAAATCATTCACAAGTTTACAGAAACAGTGACAGAGAAGACAGGAGTATCAAATACAGAAGTACATTCCCTTAGTCATCACTTACTGTATAATGGCGTTATGACTGTTAAGTGCAGCACTCCATTGACAAATACTAGATACTAGTTATGAACAATTTTTTTCTTTTTCATTTTTTTGCTCCTCACAACCTGATACGTAGTTCCACAGTTAAATGTCAGCAAGGTCAAGTGTGAGACTGTTTTGTTAACACTCACAATGACATTAGCATGTTGGCGTTTAGTGGGTGTAATGTGGCATCATTAGTTTTGCAAGTACTGGACAAAAACCACACAGAGCTCACAGCCACGCTGCTTCTTTTCATGCAACATAATAATTAGTAATGCCCTGTGGACATCCAGGGTATTACAGTGAGACTCAAACAAGTACATTAGAGCACTGATGAACAGCCATACAGTAGTTTGAATTAAAAGACAGATGAAATTTGTATGAACTAAGAATATTTGTAGGTATGTACTTTCCATTCTTGAACATATTACTAAATAAAATCTATTATCCGCAGCATAATACTTACAGCTCATTTTGAGAGATATATTGCCCTGTGAATTGAGTTCAAATTATAATTTATTGTGTCTAGTGACACAAACAGCAACATATACAGTTCCTCAGTCTCATGGCATCATGTCCCAGACAACAGCACATACTCTGTGCAGAGAGATTCATAATGGCACCATAATGGGAGTCATGTGGATCTTTGCAGAAGGAGGCTAGAGAAAACATCCCATCTGTTTCAGCTTGTTCTGTCTCCTGACTCTACAAACTGGATGGTTGAGCATTGCCCTTGCTCACAGGTACTTTTATTTCACCACTTTACCATACAAGAATACTGTGTCCAAAACCCCGTATCCCACTCCAAATACATCCGTGCCGGAACATACACCGTGCAATTAACCCCATTGCTACACCATCTGTCCTTTAAGAATGTTGCTGCGGGATAGTAAAGCGCTGTCTTAATTGACCTAAGAAGACCAGCCTCTGTTCAGGCATGTCAGGTGTTAGCCCTGAGTAGAGGGTACACATCTCATTACACCAAAACAGGATTCAGTTTGGCCAGAGAGCATTCAACATCAAAACTATGGAGCCATTTGTTGCAATCCAACCTTCTGCATGAGAAAGGGTGAGCATTTGTTTTCTCATAAAATTAAAAAATGTATGTTTATTATCATGATGTTTACATGTGCTAGCCAATGAAATCTATCTCCTGTTTCTTCAGTGTATAGTAAAGTGGTGTAAAGCATGCACACACACATATCATTTCTGAGGATTCAACAAGACAACCTTTGGTCTCACCATAATGACTGGCCCTAAAACATCTGTTTCCTTTATAACACTCTCTGTGACGTAAGTAATCCCTCCTGACATTCCCATATTTATTTCTCTTTCTTTCTTGATTTGCTCCTTACAAGTTAAGGCATGTATAAATTACCTACTTTCTTCTAACTTGTGTACAATTCACAGGGTTCCTTGTGCTTCTGTTCTCTTCTGGTCAACTGAGGGCACAGCCTGCAACAACCCCCAACATTAAACACATCGTGATTGGAAGGTGTTACAGTTACACAACTCTAGTTAACCCCAGTTGAAGGTACTGTACAGTGAATTGTCCTCATTTTAATTCACAAAAAAATGATGCGCTGCTGGTGTTTATATTCTGAAATGGCAGAGAACATGTTATGACATTATGAAACTGTCAGGTTTGCCCAGCTACACCTTCCTCTCTTCTTTTTCCTCACACTAGCCTAGCCCTTGCACTGATTACACTATTCAACACACCTGCCCCGCATCCCTGATTACTCGCCTGCTGCACGTTATTAGTCTCCTCCATACTTATACACTGTTCACCAGTCATTCCTCTGCCAGTTCTTTCTCTGTCTTCAGGCCAGTGGTTGTTATATCAAGTTTATGCTAAGCTTGTCTTTGTTCTCTCTAGTCCTTGTTAGCACCCTAGTCGTTATCCTGCCCTGCCGTCTCTAGTGTCTTCTTCCTCTTCGGACCTCTCCTCTGGACCCCCCTGGATTTAATCTACACCACCAGCCACCGCCTCCCAGGTCGATGCACAGTCTCCCTTACCCAGTTTATCCCTGCTCTTCTGTCTACAGCCATCATCACCTCCACCTCGACCAGCCCAGGAGTGACCTCTGCGTCCGCAGCCCGGTACATCATCATCCACCATACCACTGACTGTTTTTCTGCTGCTGCTGATCGACACCCGGTCATCTACCTCATTACTCCTCCTGTATATATGTCACTACCTTCACTGTAAATAAACCTCACTGCTTGCACCGAAGCCAGCCACCTGGGTCCGCTTTTTATCTGCTCACTCACTCTGTGTTTGAGCGCACCCTAACAGAAACCCAAAGTTTAGATGTGGGATATCTCTTGGAACTTGAACATCAACAGTTTGAAACTTACCAGTGACTTGCAACTTAATGAAAATGCATCAAAAACAAAGTTAACTTTTTCTTCTCATGGATCCCATTTTTATATATGTAGGTATGACTGTGAGGAGATCTGGAGACAGTTTGACGAGGCAGTTGTCCGTCACTCTTAGCCTTGTGGCAAGGTGAGCAAGTATTTTAACTCAAAGCTGACAGATACCTTCATCATATGTAGTTGTTAGTTTTTACTTAGTAGTTAGTCAATGGGAAATATTTGAGGTAATTTGCTTTATACTTCCCTTTCCTCCATTCAGTTCCTCTTCTGGAGTAAAACCAGAACAGTGATGCACAGCTATGCAGCTATTGTGCGTCACCTCTGGACACTGGAGATCACATTGGTTAGCTACATGTTCAATGACCTCATCTGGTGTGACCAAGAGGAAGGTTCTGGTAAATGCTGAAACAATGTCTTAAAGAAGGTAGTACAGTAACTCAGTGGTTTCCAACCTCTCTGGCCTTTGAGCCCTCAAAGTAAAACAAAGCCCTTATCACAGTTATAATGCCATAAAAGCAATATTCCCTTGATAGTTTGATTGCTTGACCATGAAAATCTACTGCTGGCATGTGGAATGACACTGATATTATTTATTTGAACATTATTCAAGAAAAATGATATACATGACAGGCATTCTCTAAAATGTGGACTTTAGTGAGTGGACCATGGACAAAGTGGTGAAGACACTGCATTTCTGCAAGTTTTTATGCATCAACCTATGAGGGTAT